GTCCCTGGAGTGAGTGGGGGGGAAGGGACCCGGCCTCCAGTTGCCGGCCCAGGAGTCGGGGGAGGGGAAGGGAGTGGGCGACAGGAGGCTTCTGCCTCCTGGAGCCTGGAGAGGGTGGGGTTTGCAGAGGGGTGGGACCTCAGACAGGTAGAATGCCATAGACTCCACCCTCTAAACCAGCCATTTCGTCCTGGGTAACAATTGTTGCCAATCTTCAGGTGAGGGCTACAGATCACTCAAAATTACAACTGCTCCTCAGGTAGCAGAGATCAGTTCCTCTGGAGAAAACAGTGGACTCTGTCATTATACCCTGCTGAGGTCACCACAGCAAATTGACACTGTTTGCCCAAAGCCAGAGCACTGCCCTAGAGCCTCTTTCTAGATCCCGTTGTATTGCTTTCACAACGGGCTTTACTGCTAGTTAGTAAATAATTCATTCGGATAGCTCCGTCAGATTCAAAGGAATTCACATATATGTATAATTCTTACAAGAACTTTGCAAAGTAGGGGGAGTGTTGCCATCTACGTATTGCAGGGGGAGAGCGGCTTGCCGAAGAGCCACGGTCAAGTTCATGCCAGAGGCAACACTGAAATGGAGGACTTCCCAGTTCAGTCTCTTAGCCAGTCTCTCCACCATTCAGCTATTTTTTATCTTGTTGGCCAGGACTGGGGGAGCACCCTGGGGTGTCAGCAGGTGCTGGAGTCTGGTGGGTGGCTAGAAACCATGGGAGATGCCTCCTTCAGACATCACTGACCAGGCCGGGCCTAGTACCCTCTGTGTGTGACCTCTGAATTGTACCGTCAGAAGGAGAATGGATGATCTCAGTGTGCATCTCTGCAACACCTGGGCCAGTCCAGAGACACTTATGAGCTCGCTCATCATTGACTGATTCTCTTGAAGTAAGAAAGTGCCTTTCTTCTTTGCAGCGGGAGCTGGAGGCCAAGAGTGAAACCAAGCAGGAGAACTACTGGCTGATCCAGTACCAGCGCCTTCTGAACCAGAAGCCCCTCTCTCTCCGGCTGCAGGTGACTTGCGGTTGAGGCACAGCCCAAGCAGATGCCAGGAGAGCCCCAAAGAAAGCCGGGAAGCCGCACCATTGCGCTGCTGGGTTACCAGGCTCTCTCTGGGATCGTTCTTCCCTGCGGCATGTTCCAGGTTGCCCAAGGCTTGGCGTACTGTCAAGAGGCAAGCTGATGATGTTTTTTCATCTACTGTGTTTTTCACAGGAGGAGGGCTTGGAGAAGCAGCTAGTGAAGCTGCTGACTGACCTGTCGGCTGAGCAGTACTTGCCCATCTTCGCTCATCACCGGATATCGCTGGGAACGCTCTGCTCCATGGCCCCCAGTGACCTGGCCAAGGTACAAGGTGGACAATACTCTCCTGCCCACTAGCTCCACTTCAGATCTAATAGGATAGAAGTCTTCTAAATAAATAAATCTGCACCCATGCAAACCAAGTGCTTTGCTAATTCAGCATGATGTTGCCCTTTGGAGAACAAGCACTGAGCGAGATGGAAATATCTTTTCTTGGGGAGAGTCGGGACATTCAGAGAATCCCTGGCACACTGTTTGCTGTGAAAGAGCTAAACAAACTCCTCCACTTTCAGATTGGAATAACGGAAACTGGGCTGCAACTCTCCATCATCCGAAGGGCCCAGGAAATACATGCCGTGGCTAAAACCATACCAGGTAATGTTACTTCTTTCCCCCTGTCAGGAGTCTTTGGCAGATGAAGTTACCTGAATGCTCCTGGAAAGCTGTCTCACTTCCTCTGAAGGAGACAGAGGGGACCATATCTCAGTGGCTGGGCACATACCTGAAATCCCAGCTCCAGTCCCTGGCAACTCTTGCTAAAGGATCTCAGGTGAGGAGGGCTGAGTGAGACCTTTTACAGGCACATGACCTGACTCAGTAATGAAGAGCATGATCGGTGAGATAAGAGGCCTGGTTCAACCTCACTCACTAAGTGGCCTTAGACAAGCCGTTGAGCCTCAGCCCATCCAAGTATTATGCAGATCTGAGCCACTCTGTAGGCAGCTGTGTGCTAAATCCCTATAAGGTAATGTAAGCAGGGTATATTGACAGCAAAGTAGACCAGTCAGCCACATGCTTATGAAAATGGAACAAAAATATGCCAATTGACTTATTTCTCTGCCTTGCAGGGATGAGTGCCTATTGCAGGCATAAGTGTGGGGCTCAGCCCAAATGCCATCTCTTCCCCCCCCCATTTCTTATTTGAGGCTGTTGATCTCCTCCTGCCACTTGCTCTCAGTCTTTCTTTCCTTTGCTCGCAGAGCTCTTGAAGTCCGACGAGGAGGCAATCCCTTCTGCTCCA